AGAGTGAAAAATTTAAAGGGGTCTGAATACTTTCCGTACCCACTGTATATTCTTATTTTACACAAAGTGGTTCTAACTGCTTACTGGATTACTCAAATGCAGAAATGACTATAAAACTCTTCAAATGTTTTGATACCAGATGGTGTGCCAGCTACTTAAGGCCAGTTTTGCTTGTTTGCTTTTCAGTGTAGTTGATAAACTGAGTGTTGGCATCAGTGTCTCTGAATGTTGAAGCCATATAACATATTTGATTTTTGCTAGTAGTATGATATGTTTTTTTTCATGCTTCTCCTGAGTTCGAGATTAGACTAGAGCTGACCTGCAGAGACTTAAATACATGGGGGAACACTGGCAGTTAAAACTCTGCGTGGATAGACTTGAGTGTACCACTTTATATCCCATAGCATTGAATTTGTAGCTAAGCAAGATAAGAAAGTGATGAGATACCACCTGTTAACTGTATGTCATTGTTGTGATCTCTTCTGTACAGGCCTCAGATGAAAGCAAAAAAGTGGAGTGTGTGCCTAACGAGCACAGGCATCAGCAGCATAACAGTAATGAGAACTCAACATCGTTGGAAAATGACAGTATGCTCCTTCCCCATGACAGAGTAGGCAGTGACTTCTCTTGGCTCCAGGTGCGGAGTCAGGAGGACTCTGCAGTCTTGAAAGCGCATGAGCTTGAAGATGAAGAGTCGTTTTTGTATGGGAATGAAGACACTGGAGGAAAACAGGCCAAAAAATCCTCCACCGCACTCTTTGCATCATTTCCCCAGATTGGAAAACATGCCAAACTACAGGAAGTGGCTAGTTCAGGCAGTCAGCATCATCAGAGCAAGTCCATATTCAGCAGCTTCGGGGATCTCTTTGATCTGAAGCAGCCCCTTCAAATGAATTCCTCTGCCGATCTGGACAGCAGTGAGTGTGAGAAGATCAGGAACATATTAAAAAGTCTGGGCACAGCAGACGTCAGCGATATCATGGTTAAGATGCAGGGGCAAAGGGAGGGGAAGCAGCCGTCTCCTGCAGTTCCTGCTTCAGACCAAACAGCAGCAGGCTTAGTATTACCAGCACTGAGAAACCCCAATGTACGGCACGCTCTGGAGTCTTTACAGTCACTGATCAAAGGTCAGTCAACTACAGCTTTTTATATTTTCTAACCATGCCTTCACAATGCAATCAACTTTTTTTTTTACTAATTTTATTATTTTGATTGACTTTTGGTTGTGCCAAAAGATTGAACTGCGTCTGTAAAAGTTGCAATAGACTACTGCTTTAACTTATCATTATGAAGTAAATGTTGATTACACAACCTAATCTATAGAATATTGACACCACCAGCGCTTAGATTGGTTCCCTGTACAATCTTCCGGTGAAATGAAGGCTTCATCTATGGCACAAAGAATGTGCATCAACCATGGCGCCACCAAAACAGGAAGAGGATAGCGCTTTTGTTTTCCCTGAAAGCTATCGGTAGCTATTGTCAGCAACCAGAGAGTATCATTGGAAGTCCTTTGCAGTTACTATCCCCAGTAGCGGAAATGGCAGACAGTGGAATATCTCATTCTGACTAATGTCTTGTATAGATTTTGGATCTGTTTTTTCTCCAGTTATCATGAATGAGATTTTAGTGACAGCTGAACTTAGAGGTGTACCCAATGAGTTGGAAACTGATGCCATCTGCCTTGAGGATTTATCTTCTCTGTCTTTACTGTTTCATGCTTTTGATATAAAATACAGAATCATGTTGTTGTTTCTTCCTCAAGCGACAAAGGAGAAGCGTGAAAAAAGCGATGGCAATGGCACATTTCAGACATCCGCGGATAAAAACAAGGTAATGGATTTCCAAGCTGTGTCACTGGCTACTCAACATCTGAGTGATAAAGTTGAAATCATTACAGAATGGTGAAAGCCTTTCATTTTCAAATAGTTTCTTGTGTTACCCAGGCAGGTGACGATGAGGAAGGGAAGACCGAAAAACAAGCCAGAATAAGTAAAATGGAATCCTTGATGAAAGAACTGGATGGATTGTTGAAACAGGATGGTAAAGCTGTTTCTCTAATGACAATCCTATGCTTCCTGTTGTCTTTAGTGTCTTCCACACTCTAAAATACTCCATGTGCTTCACTGCCTTTCTTGTCCTTTTGCAGGGTTCAGTTTTCTGAGTCCAGTAATTGGGTTTTACTGCCAGAAATGTGAGGAGTTCATTGGAGATTTGAATAGTGCTGAAAACCATGCAGCCATCCACAGCCATAGTACCTCAAGCAGTGTAAGTATATTTCATCTTTACCTCCGTGTGGTGATATTTGTATGTCAACAAATCCCTTGAAATGTTGAAACCAAGCAGGCATGTATCTACTAACAATTATTGTGTATGAAAAGCCTGATTTCTTTTCGGTCTGTGCCATAGAGCTCAATTAAAAACACGTCAATGTTCCTTCATTACCGTAAACTTACACACTGTAGTTTATTTGGACTTAATCCCACATACAAAGTCCCGCTGCCACACATTCTCACCAGCTGAAAATAGTCCCCAACAAATGCACTATTTCCTTTCTGTGTGAGTAACGTTGACCAACTGTTGTAGAAAATTACTGAACTTTTTTGAAAATGAAACTGTATATGTGACCTGTTTTTTATGATTCATGCCTTGAGTAGGAACCAATGGGCTTGGGGCTAAGTGCCACAGAAAGGGTAGAGAAGTCAGAAGGTAACTTATTAATGCATTTTGGGTTTTGGTGTTTTCAAAGGATTTGTTGGCTATAAAAAAAAAAAAACAGTGAAGGGGAAGTTCTCAGTATTCTTTGAAAACACTAGTCGGTGAAAAGTGTTTCTACGTGTTATGAATGTCCACACTGACATTCATAACACGTATGAAGAGGGGATAACCTGAATTAAACTCAGTGTGGCAGCAGAAGGCAGGATAATGGCATACGGAAAGTCTTTAAGTTGGCAAACTGACTTAGTAACAAAGCAGTATTTTTCACACCATGAGCTCCTGGTCATACCAGACACGCAATGATGCGTTTAATTACTTATAAATGTGTAAAAGGAAGATTGTGTTTGTTTTTTTTATTCTCTAACTGACAGGTTGAAATCTCTGGCTTTTCTTCTACTCTCACGTCATTTTGGCCCCATCACATTTCATGAAAAGCAAAAAACGTCATACTATGGGGTTTGGTGACCACTTCTGTTTTAATGTCGCCATAAACTCTGATTTCTTTATCATATTTTTTGCAAAATAGCTTTTATGTATTTTCAGCAGAAAGTGCAGAAGGACAAGCCTGCTGGAGACAGCAAGGGACACTCGCGCCATTTTATCAACAGCACTCAGCATCCACACCCCTCAGACAGAGATCACAGGGACTACGGTCACAGAAGAGACCACAGGAATCACAGAGACCAGCAGCGAGACTGGAGGGACGAAAGAGATCACAGAAGCAAACACCAAGACGACTGCAGAAGCCACAGGGTCGGGCAGGATAACGTCTCCATGAAAGAGGAGATGAGGAAGGAGAGGATGCTCATAACGGTGTCCCGTGGACTAACGCCGCCTCCAAATGTCAGGGTCAAGGAGGAGGTGAACAAGGAGCAGACTGTCGGATGCCATAGCAAAGTCAAAGTGGAAGACGAGGCCGGCAAGGAAAAAGCATCCAAGAGCAACAGAGCAACAGATGAAAGCAGTGATAGTAGTGACGACAACAAAAGAAAAACGCAGAAAGCAAAATCACCGAAAAAGAAGAAGAAGGAGAAAAAGAAGAAGAAGAAGAAGAAGGGAAGTCCTAATTGTTGAATTATGCTCGTCACTTCCCATATCCACGCCCTGAGACGATGTTGGCATCTCGTTGCTGCCCAAGTTTTTCAAAACGTAACTTCTTTTTCTTGTCCCAGTTATTTTTTGTATTGGTGTGGTCAGAAGAGGGAGGTAGGCCTCAAGGAGTGATTCATCATTGTGCTTCAAGGAACGGACTGACGTGTTATGAAAGGCATTTGTCCTCAACCATAGTCAAAAGTGAAGATTGATATACATTTTATCTTTGTGTATCTGTAACAGAGATGGGTCTGACCTCTGGTCAGCCCCATGGTTGGACGAGGGGCACGTTTTGAGTTCTTGGAGGTGTAACAGCCCGCTCTTGATAGAGCTGCTTCCAGTGGTTGTGCCAACTAAGGCCAAATGCATCAGAGACCAATCTCTACTCAACGCACAGAGACGAAATCGATATGAATCTTTTTTTTTTATTTATTTTTTTTGGTTTTTTTTGGTTGTGCTTAAGATTTTTTACATGGCAATTGCTATGTTCATGTATGTCCTTGTATACCTCACGTCCTGGTTTCATGTTTAAATTCAATGTTGGAGTTTTATACAAAAATAATTCAATTCTCAATTATTGCTACGTTGTGAATATTTTCCAACAACATTAAAGGTTTAGAATGTGATAAGTGTATCTGCATTTTAATCTGAAATACAAGATAACACACAAGTCTGTCTCCTGTGGCTTTGTATAGTAAAGACGTGTGTAAAATGTCATTTAAAAAAGTAAGACAGTATTGTAATTGAGTGATCAGATCTCTTTGCATTGGCCATAATCAAAAAGTGGGCAGAATCCTTGACAGGTTGTGTGATTAAGGCAATGCTGGAGACTATGACCCCACAGAGTCCTGTCTGGCAATGCACTTTGGTTAAAGTTAGTGAAAGGTGGTAGTTTCAGTTAAATCTCATTAAACACAACCAAGAGCTGTGAGTGCCAAAACACAAGTAGAAACAATTCTGTTGTCACTACAAGTGGACATTCTGTTGCTACATCAGATATTGTGTCAAAACATTTGACTGATATATTCAGTATCAACATTTTTGAGACTTACCAGATTCGTCAATCAACAATATTTCCTCTTTATCTTTATAGAAAATGTAATCCAGCCAGCATTAATTTTCCTTAAGAACATATTTACTTTTGCAAGTTAGCATTCTATAAAATTCATCTCCAAGAGACAGCGTTATTCTACCAGCACAGTATTTCTGCAGCAGTAATAATGTCAGCCTTCCCACCTGTTTATGAGAACATCTGTACAATATAGGTCTTTTTCCCAGCAGACATTCCATAATGGGACTCAACATGTCTACCATGAAAAGGCCTATTATCTTTTCTTGTAGAGGCCAGCTTTGTACTCGTCTATACATAAAGTGGCAAAAAGTGATGGGATTTTAGCAGCATTCTGTTGAGTATGAAGATTGTCTTTGGTCATTAGCACAGACAAAGGCTTCTGTGGCTTTGTATACTGTACTTTATCCGACTCAGTCCGACCCTTACAAAGGTAGTGGATGAAGAGAAGCTGAACATGCCTTCAGTAACAAACCTTGCAGAATATTCCGCCATCTTTCTGTATAAAGAGAGTGGAACGTAGTTTTGTGTAAGTGAATGAACTGTCTGTGCTTAGGTAACACTTAACCCCGTTGAGTTTGCAGTGATCTCTCCTACATTGGAAAGACTTCCACATGAGTTTTTTTTACTGGGCTCAGTTAAAAGCTAACTTTTTACATTGACTCTGTCAAAAGTAGGGATGTCCTGATTCTTAGATATTTAGTATGTGCCGATACATGCATCATTAAGCCTAGTTTTTATAGTCCCCGTTTGTCCTGCCAATGACGATACAGTAGCCTTTCTGAAAACCATGCACTGCATCTCTCATCCTCTGGTTGTTTGTGTCCCACAGACAACTGTGTGTGTCTCTCTCCTCTCCTCTATCTCTCTCTCTCCTCTCTCTCTTACCTCTCTCTCTCTCTCTGTGCAACCTTCCAGATGTTTTGATCTGGATCTTTGTCCTCCCTCTCTCTGTGTGTGTGAACATTTTTTGCCTATTGTGTTTGTGTAGAAGTGCAGAGAAGGTTGTGTGGCTCAGGTCCTAATTGTTTTGAGACACCTCCCATATCCATTCTTCATATATGATCACAATCGATCTATAATGATGTCATCCTGGTTGTCTACACTGTAATTTCATTTAAATTAAGTTGGTTATTCCGTGCACACGACATCTATTGCACGTCTGTGGTCGCTGAGGCTGTTGTATATACTCCAATTTAGTGATTTGTAATATTGGGCTGTATTCATAAAATTGACTTGACTTTTCCAATTTGATAACATTTTCTACACTTTAAGGTAATGTCTGATGCAAACACGAGTCAGCTGGTGAGCAAACACTCACCAGCTGCCAAGGTGAGTGTCCTTCTCTTGTGTTGAAATCCAGGAAACATTATGAAATGTAAATCTTATTTCAGCAACAGAAAAAGTATAGAATGAAAATGAAGCTCTCCTCTCTGCTGTACTGTCAGACATGGATGTCTGCTGAGGGTTGGAGCTTTATGGACACAAAATAAAGAGGATTCCCTCAAATGTGTTTTTGTCCAGGTAACAATCATGAGTTGATGTTAATGACCTCAGAGGCCACTGGAGAGAACATACGTATCCCATAATAATGTAAATGTTAATGGGTTAAAGAAACCAGTGCTGACTTCTCATCGGCCGTTTCTAGAGGGAAACTCACAAGTTGCACAACTGAATGGTTGAGGTGAGGCCTTGAATGGTTTTGGTGTGGGTAACTATCTCCATCAGATTGTCACGCTTGGAAAACTGTCAAAATAAAATGAATTGAAAACAAACCACAGTCTCATCTTGTTCTTGCATTTATTAATGTATTTGAACTGTTGTCTATATTATACATAATATTATACATAATTATATTATGTAACCGTTCATAATCAGGGCATTTAATCACAGCGGGCTTGCCTACAGTTCCAGCAAATCCAGAGGAACATTGAAATGATGTAATAGTGTGTGTCCTTGAGTACTGGTGGTTTTCACTGGAAATGATTACACATCTTCGTGTGCACTGAGTAACTCAGAGGTGAAAGAAGTATTGGTATGATACCACGCTGTTAAATAAAAGACAAATAAAAGTCCTGCATTCAAAATGTTATACAAGTAAAAAGTATTCAGCAAAATGTACTTAAAGAACCAAAACTCCCTGTGAGTGTTACTAGGTGATACTACTAACTGCAGTATATATTAGTAGTACTGGTGCATTAACATGTAAGCAGCATTTCAATGGAGTTGGTCAACGTGAAGCTACTGTTTATGCCTCTGAGCAGTTTAATGTAAAAATGTATCCTATTCATATATAGTAAGATTTGTTTGTAAAGTCTTTATTTGTAAAGTAACAAATTATACATTATTACAAATGAATAAATCATAGAATGGCCCCAATAGCTGACTCAAATTTGAATTGAATTACAGTACTTGTAAATGTGTTTAGTTATCGTCCACCATTGGAGTTACTTGATTACCTTTACAGGTCAAGCGCTGTATTTTTCACCACAGAGCAGTGACACATCAACATGTCCTCCAAGCTGCCTTGCTTCCCTCTTGCTTCTTGCTCCAGCTTCAACCTGTCTTGAAGTTTCTCCCTTAACACCACCAGTGTTAAGCCTTAACAGCCAAGGACATCATAGATCCATGGGAGGACAGTCCAGAGGCCTGTCTCGTGAGGCAACATCTGTGATGAGGTCAAGTTCAAAGGATTCAAAACATGTTAAGTGATATTGTTAGTCAAAGTGATATGGGAAGTCTTAGATAAGATCAGTTTGGACATCAGTTTGGTTTCAAATGTCTGATTCAGAACAGTTTAATACATGTGTTCCATAATTTGGTGCATAGTGTGTCAGAAGGCCCTCAACTACAGCCAATACTCAAGATCATGAATCAAAGTCATAGACACAGGTAAGTCACAAAAATAATATGAGTTTACTCACAGTGGTTGCTAAAGTTCAAATAAATACTTGGTTCTTAACTGCAGAGGACGGACATGAATAATAAATAATAAATGGCTAAAGAAACCTGTTACTGTGTGAGACAATGAGGAAAGGGGAAATCATACCATTTAACAAATCAAACATCAGTCACTTTGAAAGATACAGAATATCAACTCGCTTACAATTGAGATAATTACTGCAGAGCTTAAAGGTGTAAATATGACCACAAGTTGAGTTGTGGTTTCTGCACTTTATCAATTTTGTAACACTTTACAAAGACTACAAAATATATACATGGAGTTAATATTTTATTATATTTGTTTACATTACATAAGCAATCATTTAAACAAGTATCACAACATGACACTTGAGGGGACACAAGTCAGGTAAGTAGCATCTGTCTCATGTGTTTAGTCCCATTTATTTACACTGTTTAGCATAAACATGCCTGTCTGACTGGCATCTAGAGATTTTTATTTAACATTTTCTTTCTTCTTTCTCATGAATCTATATACCTCTACAGTCCGGGAATGCAAAGCGTTTAACATACATTACTTTCATTTTCACCAAAGAAATAAAGACTGTTGAGATGGATTAATGTTGGAATGTTTCATTTCTTTAAAAGAAACAGAAATTCTTCCTCAACATTATACACCTTAACAGGTGTATAATCAGTGACATGTTGTTACACAGTTTGATGATTCAGGCTTTTCTGCATTCCCCTCTTTCTCAACTCGTCTCTGTCTGTTGTTTAGAGAGGGTGACGTCCCTCCTGCTGCCTTTGTTACTTTCACTTAGACGCCACAACAGCTGCACCAGAGTCCCAGACCCAGAGACCCAGAGTCCCAAGACCCCCCCCCCA